AACCGCAGACTTCTCTTCTCATGGCTGGATCTGTGATAAACAGCCAAGATGCATTCAGAAAGGAATGTGGAAATCCCCAGACAGGAAGGAGGAAATCCCCAGGCTGCCAGTGGTTCGTTGGTACCAGTCTGTTTCCTTGTTTAATGTGTTCTGATCTGTTATGGTTTTTATAGATCCATAGTGGCCTCTTATTTTGCCCCTCAGCCCTGTCCTACACATTTATACTGGAAAAGCCATGGGTATATATGGAAGTTCAACTTTTCTTCAAAGCACCATTTTACTTACTCTCAGGCTTTTTCACACTAAAGAATTAAAAAGATACCCGAGAATCTGTCTCTCCCTTCCCTGTTTCTGCTTTCTCATCTCTTGATACTTTGTGTGGTGATCCCTAGTTGTACAGATACCTCAAGTAACCAGAAAACCTTTCAGTTAAACAGGATTTCTTCTTTAAAGTACTAACTTCAGAGCTGGTAGAAGAACAGAAAGTGTGTGGGGAAGGGTTAGAAATTTGTTACATCTTGGTCAAGTTGAAGATTCAGTGTTTGAAAATTTTTGAGGTGGAGTGGGATGGTTCCTTTTTTTCAACTCGTCCTACTTCTTAGTGGCTGAGGTACCAGAAAGGTATAGAAGAAAATGAGCAAACTTGTAATCAAGTCAGAGAATGACAGATTAGACGCTTAAAGCTTGATTAATACAGCCTCTTTATTTTCCATGTAAGGAAACTGAAACTCAGAGAAGTCAACTGACTTGTGTTAAGTCTCACAACTGTCAGCAGAAGTATTTACAACAATCCAAGTGAAACATACCCAGTAGTTATACTGCTGAAAAAAGGAGACTTCCAAGTGATATGGAACATTTTTAACAAAGGTAGAAATAATATATTAAGTATCGGATTGTGTTTCAGAACTTGAGTTCCCATCCCACTTTGCCTCCAGGTGAGCAGGGAAGACCCCAACCAGAAAGAGACTATGCATAAGCACAGTCCAGGAAATTCCACAACACTCAGATGTTAGAGACGGGGCAGTAGGGCCCTCCCCTCAGTGGGGCAGGAAACATATTACCTAGTGTGCCTTCACTGCTTCTTCAGTCAGTACTGTTACCAGCCTGATGTGGAGACTGGAACTGGCTCCAACAGTTCCTCCATATCTAGTATGACTTCATTAGAAGGACTGTTTTTTCTAGGGCATTTGATCATTGTCAGTGCTGGCACCAAGAGATTGCAGTTCAACATTGCCTGAGTCAGTTTAGCCTCCTGTTTTCCTTTGGGTCACTAAAAATTCGTCACTAAACTCCAGATACAAGTCAGTGGTCTGGGGAGTCCACATTAAGGGAGAAGTGACCAGATTCCTCTTTGGGAATGTAAGTAGAGGGTAATGTTGGATGTCAGGTGCAGACCAAACTGTTAACCTGCATGTAAGTTCAGTGCAAGGCAGGAGATTAGAAAGAGGGAGCTGTTGTTGAAAAGGGCTGGCTATGGTATGGCCATGGAGATCTACCGGAAGACTTGGTAGAAGGGGACTATATAAGACTCAGTAGGAGGAAGAGGAAGTGGTACAGAAGCTGCTGTCCATGGTGCCACTCAGGAACTCCTACTTTGCAGAGGTTGCAGGAATGGAGTTATTAACAACCTGAGAAGCTGGGATCTACTGATTCTGAGGGGGACAGCTGGGATAAAGTTGGTATAGGTTAGGGATTAAAGCAATGAAAATATCATTATGCGCAAGGGGAGGTGAGTATTGGGAGGCCATGGGGTACATGCTTTGTTTTTTTCAAAATTGTGGTAAAATGTACATAACATAAAATTTACCATTTTAACCATTTTAATTCAGTGGCATTAAGTCCATTCACAGTGTTGCACAACCATCACCACTATCTAGTTCCAGGACTCTTTCATCACCCCAAATGGAAACCCTGTACCTATTAAGCAATCAGTCCCCATTCCTCCCTCCCCCAGCCCCTGGCAACTACTAATCTGCGTTCTGTCTCTATGGATTGTGCATGGATTTTATGTCAGACATATCTGGATTCATCCTGGCCTTGCCATTTACTAGCAGTGTACCTTTGCTCAACTAACGTTGCCTCTCTGAGCCTCAGTTTTCCACAGTTTTAGAATGTGAATTAAAATGCTTAACCCACAGGACTCTTGTGAGGATTAATTGTATGTTAAACGTTTAGCTGAATAACCTGGTTCATTCTTGAGTAGACATGCAATAAATGGTATTTATTGTTTGCTTCATAAAAGTGATAACGGTGGGTTCCTTTAAGTTTTATACTACTGTGTTTAAACTGCTTATTCACCACAAATCAAGGTAACACAACTTAATCATCTCCTCTGATAGGTGCTAAAGTAGGGAACTTGACTTTTGCCTTCCAGGCTAGTTGAAGAGATGAGAGATAACTATATATTCAAAGACTGATTATATTTTACAAGCTGTAAAATGCTATTGGAATTTAGAGGAGTAAGAGTCATTAATGGTGGTTAGATGCTTAATGAATATTTGAATTAGTGAATGAATGAATGAACCGTTGAACAGTCAAATATGTAGCAGGTCTATGGAAGAGGTAGAACTTGAGCTGGGTCAGTTTAATAAGTACCACTGCCTGCCTTTCATCTACAAAATACAATCTGGTCATTAGGATGCAGAGCAACCCATAAGGTGGATAAAAGAAACTGGATTTTGATGATTGTTTTTAGATGGCCAGTCCAAAACTTTTAGAAAAAAGATGTACTTACATCAAGGAAGTTTAAAGGGAGGTAGATCTGGGCTCAGTACAAGGAGGAATTTACTATTAATGTTGGAAGGGAGGTGACAATCTTGTATGTGTCAAGCAGAGGCCATTCAAGTTCTTTGAAATATTGTAGAGAAAACTCACTGATCAGCTTGAGCCAAAGGAGACTTCATCTCCAAATCTTTCTACTTTGAAAACAAAATCCCATTTCTCTATTCCTATCTGTGAACTTAAGGAATTATTAGTTGATGGATTGATACGGGTTCTTCTTAATTTCTCTCTCTTTCCACATACTCTTCTCCTCATCACTCTTGATCCCTTTAACTTGTTTTGTTTTTCATCATTGTACTTGTCACTATCTGATATTATATATTTATTATTTATTTGCTGTCCCCCCACTAGAATGTAAGCTTCTTTGAAGCAGATAATTTGTTCACCACTGTATGCCTAGCACACAATTGGCATTCAATAAACATTTGCTGAAACTTTATATAAAAATAAATAACATATCTTTATAAATAGCTGTACAGTTTTTTCTAAATATAAAAGTACTTGTTCCTTGTAAGAAAATACAGAACAGTATAAGAACAGAATTTAAAAATTGGAGGAATTTATCAACAACAACATATACCCCTGAGAAATGTGCTTGATTGAGTTCGTGTTAAATTTTGAGGTGCTCTGGCCCAATCAAGCCAGTAAATAATGGAGATTTAACTCCATCTGTTTGTTATTGGGTTTTTTTTGTTTCTGTTTTACAAAAGATGCTGGTAAGGAAGGATGGCTCCATAGGGATTACCTCTGGGAACACAGAATCCAGAGCCTAAAACAATAGGCCCTTACGTTATCTGGGGGAATCTCTTACCTCCTGTAATTGGTGATATCATAATTAGGCCTGCATATTATTTCTGAACACTGCCATACAATGCACTTCATTTAGCTGGGCTTATGGAGATTAGATCATGCACAGGAAGCTGGCTCTTTGGTTATCAGGCTCCACAGAGGAGTCGGGAGGCTTAAGGAGTGTGAAAAATTAGGATTGATTTAAAGGGACAGGATTCTCTGGAAAAGCACAGAGATTTTTCCATCTTGTGCCTCCGGGACCTTTAGTTTCCCATAAACAGCACTGATTCTTACCTTAATACTTTTTCTGTAAATAAGGGCCTCTTTGAGCTTCCCTTTCCTCATCTTTTAAAGTAGGACTGCGAATACTGACTTTGTGAGATTGTTACAATTTTAATAAGCTAACTGTTTAAAGAATCTAACATAGTACTTGGAAGATAAAAATCCTGGCATGTTCCTGGGACACATACTGAGAGTGTAATCATTGTCAGTTCCTCTTCCTTTTCCTTTTACCACCATCATCACTGTCCACACTCTCAGGCTTTAATTTATTGTAACAGATTTACATTTTGAAATCGTATTGTGTTTGGAGTTTTGAATAGCATTTTGCACTTCTTAAGATACTTTAAATTATCCACCTTGAAGTATTATTATTATAATTGATTTAGTTGTTTTATTCTTCCTGTTAGATCAGAAGCAACCTGAGAGAAATAATTCTGATTCACTTTTGTATTCACTACAGTGCCTACAACAGTATCTGATCCCAGTGGGTATTCAAAAAAACTTGTTGAATCCTTTTTAAAAGGTACAACTAGAATATGTAACATAATTATTGTTAATAAAAATCAGCATCCTCACACACTTAACCCTGTAAAGCCAGTGCAGATCTAGGTGCACAGAGTAATTTCTTTGAACATTTATTGAGCTTGAGAGAATAGGACATGCCCATGTGGTGGTTACATCTTAAGAGTGACAAATCTAGAGCAAGCTATGTTTTGGGTTTTTTTTTTTTTCTAATCTAGTTGTAAGTTTTTCTATTTGGTGGTAATTGCGTGTTAGTTCCTAATAGCAGGGCCTTCAGCATGAAGATAGTTATCGTATAGATGAATAGTAGACAGATTAGGAGACTCAGAGGTAGTCAAAAGTAGGAAAGGAAGGGGTCAGAAAATGGGTTCGTTTACCAATTTCACCTGGCAGTTCTTCAGGCCGCCCACACGAAAGGCACTGCTCCAGTTCAGTCTCCCTCTGTTTCAGCCTGTCTGCCAATCTCAAATGGTTTCAGTGGCCTTAGAGCTAAAATTGTTTGCCTTAGATAAGGCAAATATTGCTTAAGATAAGACTTTAAGCCCTGCTAATAAGTGTATGGTGTCTGATTCCCATTCCTCTGGCCTTGCAGTCATGATCCCTCTCACCATTTCCTTTTTCCCCAGGTGTATGTGGTCGGGAATGAACCTTCAACAGTTTTGGTGGATTCCCTGCTTCCAGTCCTGGGAGTCCTCTTTTCTCTCTACTGTTTTACCAAGCAGGGTGTGTCTCACATAAGGTAAACCACCAGAGAACCTTATTTGTTTATGAATAGTGAAGTCTTTTTTGCATGTTGTTCTTGTGCTTATTTTGAATATGACATGCCACTTTGTTTTTTTCTTTCAAAGGCAGGAAAACCTTTGAGTATCTTCTTATTCTGCTCATCTAGAAAAGAAAGAGCTTTGCAAATTGCAGGGGATTGGATGTAGTTTTTAGAATGACTTTCCTCAGCCTCTCTCCTAGACATCAGAGACGAAATCTCTGTTTATGTATGTAAACATGCCACTGTTTGATCAGTGAGAAATACTAGAATTACAGGTCTAGGAAGGAGGAAATAGAGGATGGATCATAACTACCTTGTGGAGAGTTTGAAATCAAGTTCAGGAAATCTGGATCTGAATGTGGCACTCTGTAATTTAGACTTGGACTCGGTGTTAGTGTTGCACAGTGTTGTTTAAAATGAAGAGATTTCTTAGTCATCCAGAAAATAATCTTTTGTGTCAGAATTTAAGTAGGACTCATTTTGTATCAGCTCTATTTTCACAGCTATTTATGTTGTTTCTTCCTCCTTATAAGAGTTTATATCTTTTCCAAAGTCCTACAGAATTCTGACATTTGGTGTTTGGAAATCCCCCACCTGTAATCTGTTATACAATAATAGTACCTTCTTCATGGGGTGATTATGAAGACTAACTGTGCATTAAAGTGTTTATCATTGTCCCTGACAAATAGTAAACTCAATAAGTGGTAGTTATCATCATCATTGAGTGGTAAAGGAAAGTGCTCGGTCTTGCATATTATTCAGAGGCTACATACTGCCTTGCACGCTCTAACTTTCAGTCAGCACATCATTATAGGTCACAGCCATAAGGGAATTGATAAGAGAAAAGGCAGTAGATGGTGGAGAATTTGTGAAATTGGCTTCAAAGGACTGACCATATAATAACTCTTGTTTTAGTTTTGAAATTCAAGTCCTTACAGCATTATCATGACCTCATCAGAGACTGAGAAGGAAGAAGCAAATGTGTACTCCATTCCTCTCCTAGTTGATTGGCACAGATAAAAGGGGGTGAGGAATCAACAAGAACTTGTTGGTATGCTGTTTCTTGGTCACCAGCTATTGGTCCCGTTGATAGTAGATGGTTTTATCAGTGTAAACTTTCTTTCACAGTGCCTGGTCCAAACGCAGTGAGTACACTTGGAATTCCAAAAAAAAAAGAAAGAAAATCATGTGGGGCTCATATGTCATATCAGGGTTGCTTCTAGAGCCCAAGATTAGTCAGTCACTCTTTGGATTTCAGAATATTTGCATTCTGAAATTCACAAAAAGCATGCCTTCCACTCCTGCACTTCAGTAGTGCTAGCTGGTTGTGCCAGCATTTAGAATGCAGTGGAACCTGACAGTCTTTCTTTCTTTTTTTATGTTAGCTGGTTAGATGAGTAAGATGGCAGGCTCATGTATAACTGCTTTTTCTGCCAGGTCACTTTGCCAAGAGATCTTATTGTGGATTCTGGGGAAGCTGGAGAGGAAGAAGGCGATTGCCAGCCTGAAAGGATTTGCAGGGTTGGACAAATCTGTGCCCTCTCTCCATTGTCTGTGTCACTTTAGAGCTGCCACTCAAGGTGGCATTATGATTACCATCAAAGAGGCCATTTGGTGAGTCCACCCATCCTTTACTGCCTCTCTTCAGATTTAATTATTCCGCAAAGGCCATTCTGTGACTGGTCCACTAAGGGGCGCTGATAGAAAGGAAACTGGAAACTCAGGTGGCTGAGGGGCTGCTGTTTATAATCTCTGAGTGAAATGTGAGCCTTAAAAAATTCTCCACGTTTTTCCTAGGAGCTGGGTAATAGTAGATACAATTTACTGCATCTCTGCAGTAAATTGCATCATAACAAGCCCACCTACTTCATAAAGTCTTTGCCAGTGAATCAGAGTAAAGGACAAACACATGTTCACCTTAACACCATAACAATCCGGTTCTCTTTCTGACTCTCAAAATGGCATATGTGTGTTCAGAGTCAGACGTATTCCTAAAGGAAACTGTCTGATAACTATCTTTTGTGGCAATTTTATGATGAAGGTTTGTTTCTCCTAAGGATTGATTAGAAGGTGCTTAATAAATGTTAGTGGAATGGATAATTTATTTCTCCAACATCTCACAAGTGTATTTAATTTTTATTTTTATTTTATTTTTTTGCTGAGGAAGATTAGCCCTGAGCTAACATCTGTGCCAGTCTTCCTCTATTTTGCAAGTGGGTCATTGCCACACCATGGCTGATGAGTGGTATAGGTCTGCGCCCAGGATCCGAACCCACAAACCCAGGCCACTGAAGTGGAGTGCGCTGAACTTAACAGCTATGCCATGGGGCTGGCCCAAGTGTATTTTTTTTTTTTAAAGATTTTATTTATTCATTTTTCCCCCCAAAGCCCCAGTAGATAGTTGTATGTCATAGGTTCACATCCTTCTAGTTGCTGTACGTGGGACTCGGCCTCCCGTTGGACGGAGAAGTGGTGCCTTGGGGCATGCCTGGGATCCGAACCCAGGCCGCCAGCATCAGAGCGTGCTCACTTAACCGCTAAGCCACGGAGCCGGCCCTGGCCCAAGTGTATTTTAAATTATTTCCATTTTCTGGGTGATATATGTAGATGTTATTACCTCAGAATGTAAGTTCTTGTTGATCAGAGTCCATATAGTATTTAATGAGTGGCAGCTACTCAGATTTTACATCGTGTTCAAAGTGCTGCTGTTTAAGTGTTTAAATTTAATTCTTTTATTCATGGTTAACTTGGTAAAGTTTTAAAACACTCTTTCAATATGATGGACTTGAGGAAAATAGGAAAAAACACATTGATTACAAACAGAATTATCAATACAAACTCAAGCTACTAATTTACTGAGAGTTGTTGAGCATTTGTGGTTATAACTATGCCCCTGAGTTGAAAAAGCTTAAAATTTGGGGGCATGTTATTTAAAAAAGACTTGGGAACAGTTTAACCTGGACCACTTTAGTGACTACATAGAGAATTTTACAATATTTAACTTATCAGGAGTTAAAACTTACTGCTATCTTAACAAGTCTTTAGTGTACTTCTTAGTGCACATATGTCAAAATCAACAGTTCTTATTGAAACGATAGTTTCTCTTCATAGTAGGAAAAAGTGAATAGGCGGTGATTGAATGAATCTCCATCCACTGCCGGAAGCAATGGCTCCTTAACCTGGGGTCTTTACATGGACTTCCAAGGGTCTATAATCCCCTTGAAATTATACACAAGAAATTTTTCTATATGCAAACATGGATTTTTTTCTGAAAATGGGGGTCCATGGCTTTCATGAGATACTTAAAACTCTCCATGTCTCCAAAAAGTTGACACTCACTATAGCAGAGAAATGTATGTATGTGTGTGATTTTATGATTTGTTCTAAAGAGCCTGCTTGTGGTACTAGTCCTCCAAGGGCAGGGTCAGTATCATCACTTGGTCTGTATCACCGCCTACCTTTCACTGAACTATTCTGCCCAGCAGTACTAGTTATCAGTAAGAGGCTTGTTTAAAGAAACTGAAAGAGCAGCTTAGATTTCATGATCTTTGGATCCAGAATTTTTACTTTTCCGGAACTAAATATAACTATTGCAATTGGCATTTTATCATTGCAATTTTAAAAATGAATAAAATAGTGCATCTTAAGCTAATTGTTGTCATGTTTTTTTCTAAGAGTATTTGAATACAGTACTTCATTTTGACAGTCAGGATGGTTCACGCAAGCTTAGAAGTGACATTTCTCCATTTCAGCTTTTCTTCTAACATAAAATATGATGGAGATAACATGACTGATCTGAAGGACTCTGGAAGATTCTGGGATAATATAGGAAATAATTCTAAGCTTAGTTTTTTGGGTTTTTTTTGAAGAGTTTATTTATTTATTTTGTTTTTGTAAGGAAGATCAGCCCTGAGCTAACATCCATGCCGATCTTCCTCCACTTTTTGTGGGACGCTGCCGCAGCATAGCCTGACAAGCAGTGGGTTGGTGTGTGCCCGGGATCCAAACCTTGGGCCGCCAGCAGCGGAGCGTGAGCACTTAACCACTACACCACAGGGCCGGCCCCTAAGCTTAGTTTTTTTTTTTTTTTTTTTTTTTAAAATTTTTTTTTTTTTTTTTTTTTTTTTAAAGATTTTATTTATTTATTTTTCCCCCAAAGCCCCAGTACATAGTTGTCTGTCATAGCTGCACATCCTTCTAGTTGCTGTATGTGGGATGCGGCCTCAGCATGGCTGGAGGAGTGGTGCCTCGGTGCGCACCCGGGATCTGAACCCGGGCCGCCGGCAGCGGAGAGCACGCACTTAACCGCTAAGCCACGGGGCCGGCCCTAAGCTTAGTTTTTAAGGTTATTCATTCTACTAGAGGAATATAAAGGCCATGTTGCTAGTGAACAGGCAAATTGGGACATACTGTCCAATGCGATAGTCTGTCAAATTAATAATTGTACTTTTCAATGAGATGAAGCAAATCTGTCGTTTTTTTCTCAGTCTGAAAGAAATTTTATTCTTTCTTTGATCACAAAAGTAATACATGTTCTTTGTATAATACAAAAAAAAGGAAAACAAAAATCAACCAGTATCGTGATCACTGTTTACGTTATTTTAGTGTTTTGTTTTCTAGTACATCTTCTGTATCTTTGTATCTGTTTACATGATATAGTATAATAATATTGTATCTTGGCTTTTTCACTTATCAGATAAATTAAAGCTAAAAGCCGTAGTACCTTATGAGAATTTTCTTGAAACTTTTTGCAGAAATCATAGGACTCTTTTCAATAACTTAGCCACATTTTATTACTTGGAAATTTGGCCTATTCAGTTTTCTGAAGCTATATGCATTTTTGTAACTCAACTAATTGGTTCTTATTAGTTGAGATTGACTGAATCTCCTCCTATGAAAATCATGTCTTTTTCCACTGCCCATAAGCCCTCAGCGCCTCATCAAAAAAAAGTCCAAATTCCTTTGCATGGCATCCAAGGCCCTCTGTGATCTGGCCTTGCTTTGCAGCCTTCTCTTTCTCTGTTCTTCCTTAGGAACCTGAATATTTGTATACAACCTATGCTTTAATTCCTCCCTGCTTTTGCAATTTACTGAAATAGTAGTAATTCATCAACATCCATCTTAAAGGCTACTTCCTTCACGAAGCTTTTCCCCATCTGAGCAAGTGACTATGCAGGACATGATAGCCTAGCTTCTGAGAATAAATACTTTTTCAGTATGGAGAGAAGGAAAATAATTTAAATAAAAATTTGAGATCTTTCTAATGATTTACTGTGTGGAAATAACATATTACTTTGAAAGATTATTATTGGGGTTTCAGAAAAATGATATTTCTGGGTGACAAATCTTACCAAGATAAATCTTACCCCACATTGCAGTGATGAAGATGAAGATGAAGCCTTGTATCAGAAGGTGTCCTCAGAGCAGTGCCAGATAGAGCATCTCGGGGACTTGCTGTCCCATTGCCAGGAATGTGGTTTGGCAGGCGACTTCTTCATCTTCTGCTTGAAGGTAAGAACTACATATAGTTCATGGTCGCCTTTATTCTGGGGTAGTACCAGAAGCCCCTTTGAATTTTCAAGGCAGTCATAATTTTAGATCCTAAAATTAGGTGCTAATTTAGGAGACATAATCAGAGGACATAAGGGTAATTTATTTTTTAGTAGCATTTGGTTTGGTAAAAAGATAAAACTTACCTTCAGCAAGTCACATATGATCGAACTACTTTCCAGGGTAATCTGCAGTGAAATTTTAAAGATGACCAAAGCAGAACTATTGATCTATGAAGGGGTTAATCTTTGCTCTGTGTTGACAGTAAGAACTCTTTTGAAGTTAATAGCAGGTTTTACAGCTATAGAGTAATCCCTTATCCTTTCTGACTGTTGTTTTGTCAGGTATTTGGAAAGGAGATTTAGCAATTCTGCCTCTCTCATTTCATTTTTGTAGCCACTTTAAACCTTTTCCGGGTTTGTTTCTTAGTGCTGGTGGTTGTGCTTCCTTTTGCCCTAATCTTTTTTTTTTTTTTTTTTTTAAAGATTTT